TCAGAGCAATTTGACATACAGACCGTCCCACAGCACCACTTAAAAGCAAATGTCAAAAAGATCAATAATGTCAGCATGATAGATTGAAAGTACTAAAAATATACAATATTCTATAAGTGGTTTTCTGATGCCTTCTGAATCACATTTATAAAGTTTACCTTTCATTTTCAAAAATAACAACATCATTCTTAATTGCTTGCTAAAATAGGACATGAAGTGATGTGCCTAGATATTTCCTTCAAGCTAAATATAATGTATATGTATTAAAGACCCTTGAGAGAACTGATGACGGATATTCAGCTCAGGTGTACATTAATTTTCTTAATTTCTTCACTTGTCAGTTTATATAAGTTATTTTGAACTCAGAAGAGGCCCTTCTCATGAAAGTGACTGGTATTAATTTACTTATACATATCCATTTAAAATGATGAAACTTTATTTGCTATTTTCTTCTTTTGCTGGATTTTCCATTCATTTATACCTAAATTCTTTTTTATTTATATTTATTTTATTAATTTTTTTTATTAATTCTTTGGGAATTTCATATCATGCACCCCATCCCACTCATTTCTCAGTCCCTCCATGACTTCCTTCCACTCTTATTTTTCATGAAGTTCTCTTCTCCCTCAACTTATTACAATGTATCACACATTTTGACATATCCTGTCACTTCTTTCAATGTACTAGTTTCAGAGTCAGTTTCTCAAACTTGGCCCTTTATTGTTAATTCTAGAAGTTTCTATATTCATTCACATTAAAATAACATCTAAGGGTATAAAGAGTTGGCTCAGTGGTTAAGAACACTCCCTGCTCTGGCAGAATAACTGTTACTGTTCCCAAAACCCATGCAAAACTATCTGTAATTCTAATTCTAAGGGACCTTATACCTTCTGATTTCCGTGGAAACCTGGCATGCAGGTGGTTCACATACATACACCTGCACAAAACACATAAAATAAAATAAATGCTTAATAATATCTAAGCTGTAAGTATTCTCAGATATATATCTTCTTCTCATAAAATTTTCCTAAAAGTCCAGAGCAATACATCTAAATAGGTTGGTAAAACCTGATTATATATTATACACAGTCAATGAGATGACATGTGATGTCCATCATTAGATGTATTTTGTTATTTTGTGTATAAGCTTAGGATTTTATTTAAAAGATAAAGATCCTATTAGACGAATTTACCAGAATCTTTGGTTGGAAACTTAAAATATAAGTGATTACTTCCCTATCCTACTTTTATTCATTCTCTTTTATTTTCCTTTAACCAGAAGCTGAACAGAAAATTAGGCCATCTGGATGTTGGTTTCTGGTCTCTTACTAAATATTTAAACTGTAGAATTTCTCTGCAATCCTATATGACAGTGAGAATTATACCTAACAAGGGTCTTTACATTCATTTGAAAAATGTAACAATCTATTAGTTGGTCCACCTTGTTATTATCATTATATTCCTTTCAAAGTTTTCATAGCAACTTTGCTAAACCAGATTTACTATGATTTCAATGTAATCCTGATATGTTTTCATTTACAGTAGTTTGAAAAACCCAAGTAGCAGCAGTAGCTATGCTGGCTTTTGAGTTAGATCTTTGAGTTCTTAGATGCTCCTATGCTGGGACTTTGTGCTCGTCTATGACTTTTATCCCCATTGAATAGTTTTTAAGAATTCCAACACTAAAGAAGTCCACTGAATTTAATTTTTTCTTAGTACAAGTAACTACAAGCTATCCTAAGCAATCAAGTATCCCTTATCTTCACTGATATGCCTAAGTATTCAAATTCTGTTCCTTTTGGTTTGACATGTAGTCTTATTGCTCATTAACTTGCATACAATAAGATACTATAATGCATTTTTCTTCTGTACCACAACTGTTGTGAAATGTGTTAGAAATAATACATATAAAATATAATTTATATGAAGAATAGGGTACTTGAGTTTGAAATGGCAATACTGATGCTTTCAAACATTTCACAAACCAGTTGTAACTTACCTTTCTTTTCTGTCAAAACAGGAGAGTAATAATGCTTATTCTATAGTTATTTGTTTTTTGTGGTGATATTATTGTCTTTATTTATGTAAGACGCACAGGAAAATGTGGTTATAAAAATGACACTTTATACCCGAATATTACTCCTGAGATATTCTAATGTAAAGTTAACTCTAGATAACAATCCTAATTGATCATCTTATTAGACACTCAGAATAAAGAGATTATGATAATGACATTTGGAAGGACATTATTAATATAGTTTATTTATTGAAATCTATGTGGTGGTCTAATTCTTTTCTTTATATAATTTTCATAAGAAAAGTTAAATATCAATATAGTCAAATAGGAAAGTAGTATGACAATAACACATAATGGAAACTTTTTCTTTATGTGCAGATGTCACATTCTCTCTCTCTCTCTCTCTCTCTCTCTCTCTCTCTCTCTCTCTCTCTCTCTCTCTGTGCCTCCCCGTGTGTGTGTGTTTGTGTGTGTGTGGGCACATAAGTGAATATCAGCGTAGGGGGTTGGATGAGTTTCATTCTCCTCCATTTTCCTTCAAGGCAAGTATCTTTCTCTAAGCCACAGCTTGAATTTTCTCACCTAGAAGAGAATCTAGCAAGCCCTAACATTCCTCTGATTTTTGCCCCCTCAGAGCTTTTGTTATAAGTATGCCAAAGGAAGCCAAGTTTCATATGTAGGTGCTGGAATCCAAACTCTGGTACTTGTGGTTTCAGAGAAAGCTCTCTTAAACATGGAAAAAAACTCCATAGCCCCATAACAGAAACATTTAACACAAGGAACAACAGCTTAGTGTTTATTGTCTTTTTTTACTTTATTGTACTTGAACATAAGATTTTTCTTTTTTTCATATTTTATATATTGTAATACAAGTAAGAATAATAAACCTCCTGTTTCTCATGATAGCTAATATTATATAATTACTTAGAATGTGTCCATTATTTCTCTCCAAATATTCCGAGTACATTATGAATAAATTTCTTTTTTAGTGAAGAACATAGTGAATGATTAGGAACCATGTGCCAATAAACTGCTAAATACAGGGAATTTGTCACACCAAAATTGAACAGTTGAGGGAAAGTGAATGCTAGAACTTTGCTTTTGATCTTAACCTTATGGAGATGCTAGGGTAACTGTTTTATTTTCTTGGACTTCTTAGGTCAATCGACAATTCAGAACCTTTCATGTTTGTGCAATTCCCTTTTTATGAAACTGAATTTAAAGGCATCCTAGAGCTTTCTCTGTTAATTGGATAGGGATTCTGGGAACACAGACTCACAAAACAATGTAATTTATGTGTTGGGAAATGTTCAAGTGAAATCCAAGATATTAAAATGTGTCTTTTCACTTTCAAAGCTTTGCATTGTGGATATAAACCAAGGTTTTTCTTTGCTGCCTTTTGCTGCATAGCAGAAAATTTATATTTTTCTTATAGGTTGTAGGTACTTCAAATAATGCCAAGGATAGGATTTTAGTTCACTCTTCATAGTTGTTAATAATACATTGTATAGTAAGTTATTTGCTTTGAAAAATCTGGTCTAGAATATATTATTTGTGCATGGGCACCCATATTGGTATGAGTGTGCTACTTGGTATGTATGACAGTCAAAGAAAAACTTGCAGGAAGCAACTTGTGGGAATTCTACCACGTAGGTCCCGGGGATTGAACTCAGGCTGTTAGGATGGCAGTGATCAGTTTTACTTGCTGAACTATCTTGCTGTCCCAGATAACATGTTTTTTACAATAGTAATGTATAGCTTTAATTCCTTGTGTTTAAAGGTTTTATGTCTATATAGCTATTAGTAAATAAGCTAGTTGGCAAATGCTAGTTTTGTTAATTTGAACGATTTTATAGTTATTGTTCAAAGGTTAATTCTGGTCACAAATAGTGAACAAATAGTTTAGAAAACTCTGTGCATATGAACCCGGATTTCCTTGGAAATGGGAGAATTTGAATATTGAATATTGTTGAGAAAACAGCTCTAAGATTTACACAATGAACTGATAAAATGAAGTATCATAAGGCTTGAAAAATCAGGTTGCAGTTATGATTACTGTGTAGACTCAGAATGTTTTTACTGAAATGCTCACCTTTGCTATCATGCTGCAGGCCATAGTACGAGAAAAAGCCGAGAAGTTCAGAAAACTGCAAGATGCCAGCAGATCAGCTCAGGCCCTGGTGGAACAGATGGTGACTGGTAATTACATGAACTTGATTTAAATAATCTTCTTAGAGATTTGATAAACACTCAGGTTCATATTTATCAGCTAAATTATATCAGACAAGCTTTTCTTGGATACAAATTTACATTAAAGGAAGTTTGTATTTTTATTATTATTTTTCTTTCATGCTAAGCAAATTATTGGGGGAAATTCAATTTGAGCCCATTGGTTGAAAATGAGTTGTGGTAGAATATTTAATAAATCTATTAGAGATTAATTTTCAGAAATCTGATTAAAATTTATTAAAATAAGTTTAAGAAAACAGAGCTTTCTGAAATAATTATTTTTGGAAGCATATGAATAATATTAATTAAAGGCAATTATAATTAAAAAAATAATTTTACCAATATATTTTACAAATAACCTAAAATTTGGTGGAAGGATTCAGCCTAATACTACTAATATTCTCATGTTTTGTATGGTACCTTGTCTTATAAAAAGATGTGTATTCTAAGTGAAACAAAAGCACAAATTTAGCATCATATTTTTATCCTATTTTTAAAAATTACAATTATTCTTTGCTAATCACAACTGAAAATCTATCTTTACAAAATATTGTAAAGTCATGTGAGCAATTTTTTTCTTTCAAATTGTCTTTTCTAAACTTGTATTCATTTGTAAATGAAAGTATTTTTATAAAATATTACAATGTATTTTCTGGATAGTTTATTTTTATTTTGCAAGTGTGTATGATAAACAAATAAAACAAAGTTTTATGTACACGTCAGCATTTTTGAGAAACTGCCTAAATTCTGCATCATAACTTCTGTATATGAATTATTTTTAGACTTAATTACCATGTTGGCATTAATAAATTCAATTATCTTCATAGGAAATCAATTCATTTTCTTCTTTTAATCAGCCTCATAACTGTATTAGCTTAAAAATAAAAAACAGGAAGACATGCCAGTTGAGAATTAGGTAAATCAATTATTATATATTTCTACATGTTGCTTGGTAATTTTGAATGATGGTTTTAATAGTATATTCAGTCAAATAAAATTACATGATCCAAAATAGTCTTATAATCATTCTATAAAATTTCCTAGGAATTACATTATTACCTTTGTATTTAAATATGATGTTATAAAATCCATAATTTCAGTTTCAAATTGTTTAATTTTGTAATAAAATATAAAGCACATATGAGATCATCTTATATACACATGTACATAATTATTTAAAATATTTTAATATTATAAATGAATGGAAATATTTATTTAGTGTTTATTAAGTAAAACTAGACAGAGAAATGAAAGGTAATGGCAAATGCTAAAATCAATTATCTCAATACTTGTCATCATATAGAATTTCTAGAGGCATACAGAAAAATTGGGGCATATAGGATGTCTTTAATAAATACTAATTAACTGATTAAATTCTATTCAACAAAGCACATTTGAGAGTACTTGAGTAATGGTATGGAAATATTGACTCTAAATAAAAATAGTACCATGAATAGATAGCAATGATCAATGGATTTATGGGAGTGCAATTTGAAATTTTCTTCTTTGCCTTGATCAAATTTTAAGCTATTCATTTGTCTGCTAGTGAAGATAGGATAGGATCAACTTAATTAAACCCAAGTTAGGGACATAATGAGAATAAGCATTTTCAGAGCCCATAGTTCTGCTGTCCCATTAAGCAAGACTATTTACATAATTACTGAACAATTGATTCAAATGTTTTGATCTATTTATTCTCCATTATCTTTTAAAAAACAATCTACATAATACATATTTTCTCAGTTTATGCAAATTATAAATTAAGTCAGAAATATAATAACTATCTGGGTACATGTCCAACTATAATTTAGAGGGACTCATCTTTAAAATTTGTAGATGCTCTTTTACCAAAGAGCCAAGAGGTATGGTTCATAAAACTGAAAATTAAATTAATCTTTGTTATCCAAGATTTTCAACTATTCCATTAGTGAAGCTCTTAAATTAAGTCAAGAAGCATCTTTATCATATATTTGCCTTATCAAATTTTATAATAAACATCATAAGATTTATACCATTTTATTTATAGGAAGGTAAAATGAGAGCTGAGTTACTATAATTCATATAGGATTGCATGTAAATGGATGTTAATTTTACCTGCAAATATTGTCCTCAAGTAACAGTCAAATCACTCCTAGAGATTTCTTTTTGATTATACCAACTCTATTTATCAGAATATAAGTGATCTTCTATAATCAAAAATTACAATAAGAGATAGTCAATAGAAATGATATTCTCTATAAAATCATGTTTCCGTAAATTTTCAGAGAATTTTGATATATTTTAAAGCAATGTATGTCTCTAATTTTTTAATATCAATTCTTATGTAAGAGCAAAAGGTTTATTTACGAAGCCTCAAGGCTTTTTTACTAGAATTATGCTATGAAATATTTTTACATATTTTTAATCTTCTCTCATAAAATACAACCTGACCACATAATCCCCTTCCTTCACTCCTCCAAGACCTACCTGATCCCTGTCCCCTAGGAACATCCCCTGTCTCCCCCCAGAAAGGAGCAGCCCACCCAGGTACATCAACCAAACATAGCACAGGATGTAATAAGACCAGGAACAAACCCTTACATCAAGGCTGCAGGAGATAACACCCTTAGGAGGAAAAGGGTTCCAAGAACAGGCAAAAGAGTCAGAGATAAGCCCACTCTCAGGAATTCCCCCCAAACACCAAAGCAGCAACTATAACATATTGTTTATCTTACTTTGTCATCATCAATTGTTGGTTTGGATATAAATAAGGATTATCTCGACATGGTATTGGATAGAGGTACCTCTTTTTATTAGGGACTTTTGCTCAGAAATAAAGCTTTGTGAAGTATATCTTCAATGTATAGATTTAGAATCATATATTTAGTCTCAAAAATGTTAGCTTACTATAACCTTAGTGAGAGTAATTTGGAGCTTAGGCTAGGTGCCAAGTTTCCTTAGTTCTGTTAGACTGAGATAGTATCTAAGTTCTTTCAATAATACTTAAAATATCAAAGATCGAAGATAGTTGTGTCCAAACATTCATGGAAATATACATGATTAGTATAATTCAAGTTCTAATTCTTTGTGTGTATGTGTGTGTTTTGTTTTTGAGACTGTGTTTTCCTCTATGTAGCTTTGGAGCCTGTCCTGGATCTTGCTCTGTAGACCAGGCTGGCTTCAAACTCACAGAGATTCGCCTGGCTCTGCCTGCTGAGTGCTGGGATTAAAGGCCTGCACCACTGCCACCTGGTCAAGTCCTAACTCTTAATCTATGGAATGCTTCCTCCTGAGGAAGTTACTATAATGATGTAATAGAGTTAACAGTATTCTCTAGATTAAATGGTACTTCACTTTCAGTTTCCAATTTTTTT